GCGGTATGTCACATGTCGATCTTCCTCAATCAGCTTACGCACAGCATCAACGTTTTCTTGGGTGACTGCAGTTTTTGGACGACCTTGACGGGGATCATCACTGAGCTTGACACGTCCACGTTGAAACTCAGCAAACCAGCGATAAATTGTGGTTTTGGATGGGGCTTCATCACCAAATGCAGAAATCATCCGGTCAACACACTGTTTTTGTGTTAAACCACTACGAAAGTCATAATAAATCATCGCTTTTGAATTTTCTCGAGTCGATTCCATTTTCTCAACGACTAAACAAGTTTGACAAAACCTCGTGACAAGACCGAGAATCTTTTTTTAAATAAATAAATGGTATTCGATTTTTAAAACCAAGGAGTTTTCAATTAAAAAGATTTTAATATGACAGGAACAGTGGAAATATTCCATTCCCGATACTTTTAGTGCAGCCCTCGTATAGAGGAGTGCAGAATGTTACTATTTTTTTAAATTATGCCTAAAAATACATTAAATAAATAAAAAAAACATTACACACACTACCATGTATTTGACGCACACACGCACGCATTCCTACTATTTGTTTATTGTCAAACTTTATTGCTTATAGTCTGTGATCAAATTGAGAATACTCGTAGGGACTTTTTGGCAGGAACGTGAGGAGTGAAGTTGTGTGAGTTGCTTTATTTTGTCTATTTAGTATTTCTTCAGGTTTAAATGGGTAATAACGGTGGTTTATTAACTGTTTAATATCTGTGGAAGTGCACAAATGTGAGAAAATGAAACAAAGCCGCTGGACTTAAGTTCTCGGGATCCTCCAAAAAGTCTCAGTAAACGATCGTCATTTTACTGAGATTATATTTCATCCCATATCATCTCATTTCATTTAATTTCATCCCAGTTGATTAATGTCTCAAATTAATAATCTTCATTTCATTTTATTCACTCCGTATTAAAAAAATTCATAAAATTATGAATATAAATTAAAATAAGACATGACATAAGAAGACATACGAAAGGTCTTAGTTACCAGGTCATAAAATCCCTTAATAGTTTAAATATTGTTTCTTTTTATTAATATTTGTCTAAAGTGTAGGTAGTCTTGGCGAAATCTGTGATTATAGAATTAGACAATAGAATCATAATAGTGTACAAACTTATTATTTCAATTAAATAAAGTCGAATTTCGACTACCGAGAGAGCACTAATTTATATAATCTATACATATAAATAAAATTGGAGTGTCTGTCTGTCTCAAGTTGAGCCCGTGAGCTCACCTATCTGTCCGGGCATAGCTGGAATAGCCCCTTAGGCTACCAGCGTATAGATAGGGAATATTTTTTTTTTTAAATAATATACAAGCAGTTTCCATTGAGGGAAAGTGTTGCGATTTCGTCGCATAGATGATTTTTATGTAATACTAGCCGTACTCGCCCGCTTCGGTGGGCATTTAAAATTAACATTATTATTTATTGTCATTATTATTAGGGAGCCCAACACTCATATAAATATTAGCCTATCTATTAAGTACATGTANGTGGGCATTTAAAATTAACATTATTATTTATTGTCATTATTATTAGGGAGCCCAACACTCATATAAATATTAGCCTATCTATTAAGTACATGTATTTTCTACATGGATACCAAGTTTAAAGTCAATCGGATGCACGGTTCAGTAGTTATAACAGAACATCCGTAAAAACCACTGTAGATTTATATATTAGTATAGATTCGTAGTATTTACCAATTAAGAAATGTAATTTGTTACAGATCATGAAGACAGCGTGGTCTTATTTCACTTTACTTCTCAATATCTACAATAAGTGAAGTTTAAAGGTGTTGCCACTCGATGAATTAGGTTTCCTTACGAAACATGAAATGTAGATTTTAAATTGATAGATTAATTTGTTTGCTTCGTGCCGATGTACACAGTACGTTATAGGCCGCAGCCGGGAAGGGATTGAATAAAAATTCATTAATTATGATTCGCATCTTATTTATTGATCTGTCCTCCCAAAACTTCGTTTTCGCATGGTCGGACCGTTTTTACAATGATTATCTTTTCGGCTACTTACATTATACATTACATTTTTATAAAGAAATCACATAGGGAGCGCGGCCGGGCGGGCGCTCGCTCAAACTAAAACATTAACGTGTACAAAATTTACAAAACGTTTCGTTGTCCGGCGCCGCCCCCTCCCCGCACCCCCCCGCCCGCCGACAACAACAACAACAACAAAAAAAAAAGAAATCTCTATACGTAAGTCTTATCTATCCTGTATAATTACAAATGCATATACATTATAACCGTACTTTTACATATGTATAATTTACCGTTTCGCTACATCCTAGACCTTAATCCGAGCGTACACTATTTATAGGTTTGTTTTGAACAGTTCAACGTTTTCGAAAACGTGCGTCGAGAATCGAAGGCCGCCGCCGCCACCGCCCTCGCCCGGTGGGGGCGGCCCCCCAACCGGCAGGGGGGCGGCCCCCCGCCCGTGGGACGGTGGCGGCGGGCGTCGAAGGGTTATAAGTTCACATCAAAATCGAGAAACGCGTCGTCGTTAGGAGCCGCAGACCGCGGTCTCGGCTGTGGAAGACTGCAGGGGACGAGGGGGGCGGCGCGCTACCCGGTGGGGGGGTGCGCGCGCGCGCGGGGCCGTCAGTCCTCGTCCGAGAGCGGCTCGTACTGCGCCGACATGAGGGGCGCCGGCTCGGGGGCGGGCGCGGGGGGCGGGGGCGCGGGGGCGGGCGCCCCGGGAGCGCCGCCCTCGCCCACCGTGAGGGCGGAGTACGGGTAGGCGTAAGGCGTGGCCGGGAACGTGAGCTTGTCGGCGTCGCTGCGCATGACCTCGACGATGCGCGTCGTCACGTAGTCGAAGGCGGTCATGACGCCGCTCCCGGAGGCGCCCCCCGCCCCGTAGCGCCGCCCCGCGCCCCCGGCCCCCCCGCCGCCCACGCCGCTCACTGTGCTACTACTGCTGCTACTTCTGCAAACATAATCATTTCATAAATTAGAAGAAACAAAACAATCTTTCCTCCCGCACCTCCTCCTCCCCACCTGGGGGGAGGTCCGCTAGCTAGCGAGTAAGTACCACAGCAAACTCTGTCCCCCGCCGCAAAAATATAAACTGTATCAATTTTTATAATTATAGTCAAAAAATTTCATTATAAGATTGTATCTAAAACATTGATTCAAACGGAGACTATGACCTCATGTGTCAAGGGGACATCTGGAAAAACCGGGCGAGTGTAGGACTTTGTGCCGGCTCCGACAGATTCGCTTACCGGTTAGCATGATGATTAGTATGATGGTTGTCTGGCGGCGAGACGGGCTCCAGGTAGGGCGCGTGGTTGGGGGGGTCCCGCCGCTTCCACTCGTCCACGGAGCTGGACACGCTGAGGTGGGAGCTCACGCTCGGGCTGTACCCCTCGGAGCTGGACACCGTCGGGAACCGACTATTTGGGGAACGAAATTATCTCGAATGTAATTGTCAGACAAAGAATAAATAGGCAAGTGATTTTACTGGTGGTAGGACCTCTTGTGAGTCCGCACGGGTAGGTACCACCGCCCTGCCTATTTGTGCCGTGAAGCAGTAATGCGTTTCGGTTTGAAGGGCGGGGCAGCCGTTGTAACTATACTGAGACCTTAGAACTCATATCTCAGGGTTTGTGGTATTTCATTTTAGATGTCTGTGGGCTTCAGTAACCACTTAATAAAAGGTGGACTGGGGGCTCGTTTACCTAATTAATCAATAAAAAATAATAGTTTAAAAAAACTAACAAAATACGCTTTTATAGAAAATCCAACTAAAAATAGTGTAAGAAAAAATTATTTTATTGTATTAAAAAGTTTGGGGTGCGTGGTATAAGTAGTTATAAATATTTTATGAACAGATACGAGTAAAGATTTATTTTGATTTATATCCTGAAAAGCACCCCACGCTTTATAACAATCTTAACTATTTTTAATTAAAATTTATTTTCTATTTTTAGTTGTATTTAAATTTTTTCAATTACTTTTTTTCCATTTTTTTTAAATATTGGATTGTCATCGGTGCTTAATAAGTACCTATGCCGAATTTCGAGTTAATCCGACGTTTTGAAGGGGGTCAAAATCATGTTCAAAGATTCCGTTACAAACATACATACATACTAACATACATACGTCTGAAGCTAATAGATGCGTATTAAAAAAAACATAGTATATAGTTATTTAAAAAACTTTCCCTTTCAAATAGTTACTAAACGTTCTCACACGTTCAAAGTGCTCGGAAACAGTTGAATGCGCATGTCGGTACATACTTGTGTATGAGCGAGGCGGAGGGGCTGCAGTAGTCCCGCGTGATGATGTTGGAGGCGAGGTCGCCGAGCTTGAAGCTGGTCTTGTGCGCCGCCAGCTCCTCCCGCTCCCCCGCGCGCTCCCCCACCCGCTCTCCCCCCCGCTCCAGCACGCGCTCCCCCACGCGCTCCCCCCCGCGCTCCCCCACGCGCTCCACGGGGGGCAGGGCGCCGTTGTCGCACTCACGCCCAGACTGTGGTAATAAAAATATTTTTTATTGATATTTTGACCGTATCCTACACTATATAAATATTTAAAAACTAGCGGCACGCTCTGGCTCCGCTCGGGTCTTTAACAAAAATTTCAACGATGTTGTTTTATTTTTTTAAATAAAAGAACACTTATTGCGACATAACTATAATAGTTAGACATACGCTGTCGCGACACTTTTTGTAAATAATAATGTGTTCTACAAAGTCGTAGTACATTATTTTATTCTATCATCAATAGTTTTCTCAGGGCACGCGATCTAAAGAATATTTTAGATATTTTTTTTACACCTTGGGTTACATTATTGGAGTTTTAGTAATAAGCCTATGTCACTCAGAAATAGTGTAGCTTCTAAACAGTGAAAAAAAATTTCAAATCGGTTCAGTAGTTTCGGAGCCTATTCAATTATATTGAACAAACAAACAAATCTTTCCTCTTTATTATATTAGTATAGATATAGATGAATTGCTGTTCGTTAGTCTCGCTAAAACTCGAGAACGGCTGGACCGATTTGGCTAAGTGTGGTCTTGAATTAATTGTGCAAGTCCAAAGAAGGTTTAAAAGGTAAATTAATATGGAAATGCTCGGAATTAAATGAAAATAACAATTTTGTTTTTCCTTTGATGTGTCCCGCGTCCGTCGGATTTCTTTTGTTTGTTTTAAGTTTATTACAAAAGTTTTTGTATAAAATAAACTTTAAACCTTTAGTAGGTCTTTTATTGATCGATTGAGGCACTACGAAGTCTGCTGGGTCAGCTAGTCTGATATAAAAATATCTTAATTAATTAAGTAAATACGACATAAGAGTTGATAGTATAACTTGATATAATTAAATACAATTTCCGGAATTATTCAAACCGGTATTTACCGGAAATCGCTGGTCCGAGCTCTGGTTGATTTGGTGCGTGATGATGGCGTCGATCAGTGAGGCTGCGGTGAGGGTCCCGGAGCGCTGGTCCCCCGCCGCCCCCGCCGCCCCGGCCACGCCCCCCGCCCCCGGGACGCCCGCCACCCCCACCACCCCCGCCGACAACGAGCCCGCTGACGATACTACCGCACGCCTGTAACAATGGTTTTACTCAATCATTTCAAATATGTACACCCACAATGTTTTTTTACGACCAGCTCCTCTAAATTTAGGGTCATTAACCAATGCGTATACACTAACGGTGGGCTGTAGTGGCATTTTTGGTTAGCAAAACGAAACTTCCTATCAAATGTCGATAACGGCTTTTGAAACGCTCTGTTTCAGTAGCCAGCAATAGCGGGTTTCGTTTAGCAGTAATTACGATTTTATTTGTAATTTATCTTTAAGGATAGGATATTAAGATTTATTTCTTTAAAGAGTTCGTATCGTACTTTATAATAAATTTTTACAAGGTTGTTGCTATATTTTCTTATATTTTGTATAAATAGTACAATATTTAGTATGATATAACAATGACATTCGTGCTCTTTCCAAGTATAGGACTGGCTGCAGATGCAATTGACTCATTGACCGAAAATTCGACATCAACCTATACTCATAATTTAAGTTTTTATATAATAAAATATACTAGTGGTCCCGCAGTAGTCGAAATTCGACTATAATTAATTGAAATTGTATGTTTTTGTACACTATTATGATTGTATTTTATACTTCTATAATCACAAATTTCGCCAAGACTACATTATATAAAAATATTAATAAAGACAAACAATATTTAATCTATTCTCAATTGACAACAGACGTCAAGAACAAAAGTTTGACAATAAATAGTATGCATGCGTGTGTGCGTCAGATACATGGTATGTAGTGTGTGTAATGTTTTCTTTATTGATTTAATGTATCTTAGATGCATTATTAAAAAAAAAAATTAGCATTGTGCACTTCTTCTCTATATTCTCTATAAGTGTGGAAAATTTCATACTCCTCCGTCCGCGCAATTTTTGTAAAAAGGGATACAAAGTTTTTGCTTCACGTATTTATATAAAATATATAAATAATAACTTTTAAACCTTATTTTAAGAGTTTTAAGGGCTAAAGTCAAAGGTCAAATGCATCTCGGTCGTGTGCGTGAAAGAGACAATTTTATTTTTTAATGCTTAGATTGGTGGATGAGCTCACAGCCCACCTGGTGTTAAGTGGTTACTGGAGCCCATAGACATCTACAACTTAAATGCGTCACCCACTTTGAGATATAAGTTCTAAGGTCTCAGTATAGTTACAGCGGCTGCCCCACCCTTCAAACCGAAACGCATTACTGCTTCACGGCAGAAATAGGCAGGGCGGTGGTACCTACCCGTGCGGACTCACAAGAGTTCCTACCACCAGTAGGGTTATTAACCAATGCGTGTACACAAATACATGTGCATTTTTTAAATCAATAATACTTACACGTCTTTCCTGTCGAGGTAGTGCGGTGTTTGCGCGCGGTGCTTGGCGGTGCTGTACGTCCCGGAGGTCACCAGCCGACTCTCTTGGGACGAAACGTTCTGTAATCATACATAATAACGTATTGTACATATACCTTTTTTATTTATTGCATTAATGTAATTGCAGTAATGCGTTTCGGTTTGAAGGGTGGGGCAGCCGTTGTAATTATATTGAGACCTTAGAACTTATATCTCAAGATGGGTGGCGCATTTACGTTGTAGATGTCTGTGGGCTCTGGTAACCGCTTAACACCAGGTGGTCTGTAAGCTTGTCCACCCATCTATGCAATAAAAAAAATTAAAAAATATATACCGTCCATCAGGTAACTTAACATTAGCCCACTTACTCACTTTTTACATTTTTATTTTTTATTTCCAAACGGGATACATGTTACCATAGACTTTGAAATTTTTAATGAAGGGGATTTATTATTGAACGAAGAAAGCGCGCCGAAATTTGATATCAATCAACAAAACTTTTCTTTCTTGAAGCTGATTGTGAAGTGGTAAGGAGGTGGTGAAAAATTAAACATCGCTGCAAAGGTTTTTTATATTCATACTCAAAAGGGGGGAGGGGTAGGTGGGCGGGGGCCTGCTCTGTACCTGCGCGTGCGGCAGCAGGTGTCGCTCGTGCAGCAGCTGCGGGTGTGCGGGATGAGCCTCGTGCCTCTCCATCGCTCGGTCGCTGTAGACAAACAAAACTCTTTAGTTAATGACCATGACCACGTCATCTGAACTAACAAATTTGTTATTTGTTACTACACCGCGCGTAATTCGTTTCCAAATGATTCTTTATTATTTATTTAAGTCTATGGACCCTAATTATCACTTAATATCAGGTTGTAATTTTAATTTAATCACAATTATAATAAGTGCCAACCCTGCGAGGTAACTACCATCAAAGTCAGAGCAGGTCTCCTGTATCTATGAATTAGGGTTGCCAATCACGCATAAAATGTCTTTTTGGACTTCTAATTAATTTTCAAAATACATATTTTTAAGGCACACACCTATCTCTCCTTTGTTGCATGGCCATCTGGATATCCCTCTCCATTGTATATTGTTGGTGCTTCGTTCTTCGGTCGATGACCTGCATGGCAAATTAGAAATAGCTTTAATTTCCTTATGGCTTAACATTTCGATATACCTAATGGGTTACAAAATTAGTTAATGTATTATGCAACAATATTGTATTTAAATGTATTGTTTCACTAATATAATACTCAACCCCTAACATTGATAATAAATTAATCTGCAAAGGACACGGGCCACTCTCCATACATTGCACGGCCCACTAAACGAAGTTCAAGGACAGTAATGAAATTAAGTTTAAATAACAGACTATATATCCCTTTTATTATAAACAAATTCATATATCAAATCAACTAAAACAATTTGAACTGACCTGATATTGAGGCATCGTGTGGTATTTCTGAGACATTCCCAGTTCTCGTAATCTGAAATGCGAATGACTATTTGTTACATCAAGGTCAATGTTGGAAAATGCACAAAATTGAACTTTGACTTTTTTGTAACTGTAAATATGGTGAAGAGTTCATGGTTATTAAGTGGCCCATAGAGATTAACCGTGAATCTCACCGGACCTCTTAAGGTATGACGTAGAAAGCCGACTCTAAGCAGACGGTGCCTTCATAGTAGATTTAGGTAGAATAGGCGATCCCGGGGCACCCAGTAACGTTACTCTAGATCAGGGGTTCCCAAACTTATTTTGTCTACTGCCCACTTTGAGAAGAAATTATTTTTTAGCGCCCTCATTTTTTCACCTACTTAAATACCACTATAGCGAGAGCTCAGTCGATGTATAAGTCCTCCTAGATAAAATTAAAAATCACCTCCCAAGCCTCTACACAACCCTTTTTTTCTGGATCTCTTTCTTAATAGTCGTCGTGGCCTAAAGGATAAGACGTCCGGTGCATTCGTGTGTAGCGATGCACCGGTGTTCGAATCCCACAGGCGGGTACCAATTTTCTAATGAAATACGTATTTAACAAAATGTTCACGATTGACTTCCACGGTGAAGGAATAACATCGTGTAATAAAAATCAAAACCCGCAAAATTATAATTTGCGTAATTACTGGTGGTAGGACCTCTTGTGAGTCCGCACGGGTAGGTACCACCTCCCTGCCTATTTCTGCCGTGAAGCAATAATGCGTTTCGGTTTGAAGGGTGGGGCAGCCGTTGTAACTATACTGAGATCTTAGAACTTATATCTCAAGGTGGGTGGCGCATTTACGCTGTAGATGTCTATGGGCTCCAGTAACCACTTAACACCAGGTGGGCTGTGAGCTCGTCCACACATCTAAGCAATAAAAAAAAAATAAAAAAAATTAAGTCCCCCCCCTAGGCCTGCAGCGCCTACAAGGGGGCGTTATCACCCACTTTGAGAAAGGCTGCTCTAGATCAATGCGCAGACTATTCTCGAAACACGTCTCGTATTAACGCATATTATAACAACACCATTTTTTTCAAAAATAATATGAGACCCTATAGATACCGAGGCTTGTAGGTTATTATGTAGTATTGTATACCTGACGTCGTGCGAGGAGTGGTGCTGGGTCTTGGTGTCGGGCTTGGGCTCGCCCCCCGGGACGGGCAGCGCAGTGGCCGCGGACGCTACGTTCACCAGCGACGTGAACGCCTCGTGGCCTGGAGGTACACGACCACATTACCAACTGTTTCAAGGTCACCCACTCGGAATGATAAACTTAGATGAAGTTTTTTTTAATCGTTTTTTCACTGATCCTGTTTTATTTACATGTAAATAATGATGCATGATTATAAAAGATTATTCAATCAATAAAACCATACGTATTTTTTTATTGACAGTTGATACGCAACTGTCAATAAAACCATCCATCCAGTGGGCATTAACGCTAAACGTGGAAATGGATAATGCCAGAACACAATTAAACCAATTATCTAAACTTGAAATTATTCACAATTTGCTTGCGGACGGACCGTTCTCCCCAACCTCAATTCATATCGGAAGTTGGCAGAATCTACCACCGGATCGGACACGCGACCCACTGAGAAGATCCGGCGAAAAACTCAGTGGGCTGTGTCTGTGGGTTAATTTACTCGTCGAGCCCTTCGTCGCATGCGACGGGTTCGACGAGGACAGTGACTGGTGCTTGAGGTACCTAAAAGCACCGTTAATGGATCGGGAGGATCCGTAATGACGTGTTTAGGGTGACGTCGACTGTTTACCATTCTGTCCACAGGATCGGGTATGTTAAAGATTTAACTTAATGTGAGTCGAGTGACCCTGAGTGGCTGATGGATGATACCTGGCGGCGCGTGGTGAGGGTACAGCCCGTGGCCCGCGGAGTGACGCTGGATGACGGACACGGGCTCCCGCCGCGAGTAGTGCGGGGCGGCGTGTTGGGTAGGATGCTGGGTAGGATGCTGGGTAGGATGCTGGGCAGGATGCTGGGCAGGATGTTGGTTCGGATGCTGAGCTGGATGCTGAGCCGGATGCTGGGTAGGATGTTGAGCAGGATGTTGCGTTTGGGCGGGATGCTGTGCGGGGTAGTCGCTGTCGGCCCGCTCCCGCCTGGCCCCGGCGTGCATCTGCTGGGAGGTGATGAAGTCCGCCATTATGATCGAGCGCTGCTCCAGCACGTGAGGGTTGCGGCCGTAGCTGCTGCCGGACTGCGGAAACGAAACATTTATTTTAGTATATATTTTGGCGCAACGTCACTATTTAGTTAACTAAAAATAGTTATAAATAACTGTTTCCTTAACGTTACAATTGTTTAAGACGGTATTCAAGGGATTTCATGACTAAGCTACTCCCAATATTCTACTACGAGTATAATTACAAGTGACTGTTGTCCCACAAAACAACAGAATGGAAAGCAGTCGACGTCGCCCAAAACACGTCATCTCGGATCCTCCCGATCCACTAACGGTGCTTTTAGGTACTTCAAGCACCGGTCACCGTTCTCGTCGAACCCGTCGCTTGCGACGAAGGGCTCGACGAGTAAATTAACTCTCAGACACAGCCCACTGAGTTTCTCGCCGGATCTTCTCAGTGGGTCGCGTTTCCGATCCGGTGGTAGATTCTGCGAAGCACGGCTCTTGCTAGGGTTCGTGTTAGCATCGTCATCAGGTTTGAGCCCCGTGAGCTCACCTACTAGTTAGGGTTACGCTGACATAGCCTCTCAAGGCTACAAGCTTAGGTAGGAGAAAAAAAAAGAAAAAAAAAACCTACAAAACATTCCGACTCGAGCAGTCGAACGGAGCGGAGCTCTCTGTTGATATTGCTGTACACTTGAAATGCAATAAATGGAATTCATTGAGAAAATTAGTCTTAATCACCGCCACTACGGAAGATAATGATAATGATGAGGATAATAGCATTAGTGTTGCTGACGTCATCATTTTAAAAATACCACGAAACCAGCCAATCCGTCATATATTTTAGGATTACTCAAACATCCCGCCCCCTTTCACGTTTTTTTTTTATTGCTGAGATGGATGGACGAGCTCACAGCCTACCTGGTGCTAAGTGCTTACTGGAGCCCTTAGACATCTACAACGTAAATGCGCCACCCACCTTGAGATATAAGTTCTAAGGTCTCAGTATAGTTACAACGGCTGCCCCACCCTTCAAACCGAAACGCATTACTGCTTCGCGGCAGAAAGAGGCAGGGTGGTGGTACCTACCCGCGCGGACTCACAAAAGGTCCTACCACCAGCAAAGTAAGTTTCCAGCATCTTTGTTGTGACATCCCAGGGTTCCGGTAACTGCTCAGAATCAGCTGACTCTGTCGTTAATTTAAGGTAATAGAACACCGGCACGTACCTGCGAGAACGAGGGCGACTGCGGCCGAGGCTGAGCTGCGTAGTAGGCGGCGCCGCCGGGGCTCCGCCTCTTGTAGTACTGGTCGAACTTCTTGTCGTGCAGGTGGTGCGGGTGGACGGGCGTGCCGGCCGTGATGGACCCGGCCTTGGGCTCGTATCTGGTCTCGACCGGCGTGCCCAGGGTGATGGACCCCTTCGGATTTGTCACGTTCTTCAGGGCTCTCACACTGGAGTTCATGATGACCTTCTTAGTGCTGTATTGATTAGGAGATTCTCTTTCGCTTCTGTACTGAGCGTATTCGGAATTTCTGTACGCGTTCTGTTGAATTAAAACATGAAAATTTTATTTGTGTATTCAATTATATCGATAATCACTTATGGCTAGAGTTGTAGACAGCCACCGATCTATTATTGTGGAAAATATACGGTAATTAATAATAATAGTAATAATAATATTAATAGGTAATGTATTTCAAATATAGAAGATTAGAAACAATAAAATACAAATCATAGAACCGATAATGGATGAAATAAAATAAACACCAAAAGAAGAAACATACACTTTATGGAACACCATTTCTCTGTAGTATTAATAATCAATGCTTTTCTAGTTTAGTTTTCACACCGAGTCCTACTACTCTATCGATGTTAGACTAACAGGATCACAGATGTATTCTCAAACGTATTCTCAATATACATTTTTTTGAGTCCGCGCGGGTAGGTACCACCACCCTGCCGATTTCTGCCGTGAAGCAGTAATGCGTTTCGGTTTGAAGGGTGGGGCAGCCGTTATAACTATACTGAAACCTTTAAACTTTATATTTGCGGTAGGCAGCGACTTGGCTCTGCCCCTGGCATTGCTGAAGTCCATGGGCGACGTAACCACTCACCATCAGGTGGGCCGTATGCTCGTCTGCCTACAAGGGCAATAAAAATAAAATAAAAATAAAAAACTCAAGGTGGGTGGTGCATTAACGTTGTAGATGTCTATGGGTTCCGGTAACCACTTAACACCAGGTGGGCTGTAAGCTCGTCCACCCATCTAAAAGCAATATATTTACATAACTTATTTTCGAACGTATAATGTTAATATTGTCGTCAAAACTAAAAGTAGACTTACCGTCTTAGCAGGCGTCGGGAAGGCGAGGTCGGACCTCCTGTCGGTCCTCTTGACGGTGAGGTCCAGCAGCGAGTCCGGGCGGGGCTCGATGAGCACCACCACGCCGTCCTTGTCGCCCGACACCGGCGTGATGGTGGCCGTGGGGCGCGGGGAGCGGGGCGACGGGCTGCCGTGCCCACCGTGCCCACCGTGCCCACCGTGGCCGCCGTGACTGCTGTTCACCACCGTGAGGGTCGCCAGGCTGTCGTTGCTCGATCTGTTCGGCGTCGATGACGGAGTCTACCGAACGAAGGCACGGATGAGACGAGATACCAATAAAGTTTAGTACATACACCAATTTTCTGTAATTACTCCAAGAATAAAAAAATACTACACAAGAATTCATATCGTCGCCGTCAAACCAAAATCTGCTATGTGCAAAATTATTAATTTTATATTATTATTATCTATTTTGAATTAACGGGTAAAAACATTTTCGTATAAAATTTTATATGAAAGTGAATTTTTAAGAACTATATTAAATGAAAGCTATAGATAAATATTAAAGCTATAGGACACATAACAGTTTTTTTTATACGGTAGACAGGGCTGTGAACTATACGAAAAGGTCAAATCGTAAAACTCTCAAAAAGTGCACATAGCAGATTTTGGTTTGACAACGACGATACATCGAAAAATATATACTAATATTTAAAAACAAGCTCACCTTAAGATGATGAGATTTAATGGGCGGAGGCTGCGATTCCCTCGTGAGACTGAACTCTATGATGTTGAGCACGACGTCCCTGACGGTTTGCGGGGCGGCGCCCGTGGACCGCAGCGCGCTGCCCGTGCTGCTGAGCACGCCGGGCCCGCTCACCGGCGTGAGCACGGTCGAGCCGCCCGCCGTGGTCAGCACGCTCGTGGCTATGGAGGTGATGGGCGAGGTGGTCACGTTGCCCGTGGTGGCGGGGGCGGTCGGCGTGAGGGGGCTCGCCGTGGACGTGCTGGAGGAGGGCGTGGAGCACGCCGGCGTCGACACCGATGCTGAAGGTAAGGCCTGTAGATATAAGCTTCCTTTAATCAACTACAGTAGATTAGGAGGAATAGGGACTACAGTTAGAATAGAAAAAAATCTGGGATGGTATCTTCTCGAACAATTTGCAATTCAACATATTCAAGATACACTGTCAGGATATGTTAGTTGTATGTTTGTAAAGTTGTTATGGGTGCATGTATAGAGTTCGCTGTATGTATCGAGAGGTGGTGACCTTGGCGGAGGGCGCGTCGTTCTCCTCGTCCGCGGTCTCGGTGGCGGAGGAGTCGTACTCGTCCTTGCGCGGGCGGCGCGGGGCGGCGGCGTCGGTGCGGGGCGCGGGCGCGGGCGGCAGGGCGGCGCAGGGGGCGGGCGCGGGGGGCGCGGCGCCCTCGGACTCGGAGGAGCCGCTCTCCTCGCTGGTGGACCGCGCGGCCGCGCTCGCGCTGTTGCGGGCGCTCACCACTGCGTCTAGTTGCAGCTTTTTTCTGTAACAATTAAACAGATTACTTTTAATGTCCCATTAAAAACGACTTAAATGAAAAGTACCCAAAAGTTCGTCGTGACCTAAAGGTCCGGTGCATTCGTGTTGAAGCGATGCACCGGTGTTCGAATCCCAGTCGGGTACCAATTTTTCTAATGAAATACGTACTCAACAAATGTTCACGATTGACTTCCACGGTGAAGGAATAACATCGAGTAAAAAAAAATCAAACCTGCAAAATTACATACATAATTTGCGTAATTCCTGGTGGTAGGACCTCTTATGAGTCCGCGCGGGTAGGTACCATCACCCTGCCTATTTCTGCCGTGACGTATTTCGGTTTGAAGGGCGGGGCAGTCGTTGTAACTATACTGAGACCTTAGAACTTATATCTCAAGGTGGGTGGCGCATTTACGTTGTAGATGTTTATGGGCTCCACTAACCACTTAACACCAGGTGGGCTGTGAGTTCCTCCACACATAAAAGCAATAAAAAATAAAAACTCTAACGTAATATTTTTTTTTTAATTTTATTTAAGAAATTATTCCCCTAGTGAATATGCTACTCCATTGTGCAACAAAAGACAGTAACAAAATAATTATATAAACAAATAAAGAAAACTGTTATCGTCTCTGAAGGCCCACCAAAACTATTTTATAACGTGACTTAGTCATTTCGAATTCCGGAAAGGCTAATAATACGTCATTTACAACTCTAATTTGTCGGAAATCTGTATATTTTGCAGCCCACTGACTTTCTCGCCGGATCTTCTCTGTGGGTCGCGTTTCCGATCCGGTGGTAGATTCTGGGAAGCACTGCTCTTGCTAGGGTTCGTGTTAGCATCAGGTTTGAGCCCCGTGAGCTCACCTACTAGTTAAGGTTACGCTGAAATAGCCTCTCAAGGCTCTCAGCATAGGTAGGAAATAAAAATTTTTTTTTGCAAAGAATCGTCTCAAATCGTCGTTCCGCGCTCACAATAATAATTTTGATATAAGTGATGTTTAGATTGGCCCCAAACGTTGGTCCGACCAGATCTCCGAGCAAACCAGCGGACCACTTAGCGCAGCACTACACCAGGCAACTGACCGGAACCGATGGAGGCTGGCAGTCGACAAGCTGAAACGGAGTCACGATCCTCAGCAATGAGGGAGCTATGGGGAAGAAAGAAGAAAGCTTGGTAAGATATATCGCACGTACCTGTAGGTGAAGTAGTAAGCCTTGAGGGCGGCGGGCGTCCGTCCGCTGACGGCCGCGATCTGTTCCCAGGCGGTGCCGTGCTCGCGGAGCCACCCCCTGAACTCGTCCTCGGCCGGCTCGCAGCCCGGGCCCGCGCCCTCCAGCCGCCGAGTTATACGTTTCAGGCAAGACAAACAGCACTTGCTCAACTCGCTCGGGATCTCTGATGAATGAAAACCACAGAAACTCTGAAGACGTCGCGGCCTAAAGGATAAGACGTCCGGTGCATTCGTGTTGAAGCAATGCACCGGTGTTCGAATCCCGCAGGCGGGTACCAATTTTTCTAATGAAATACGTATTTCACAAATGTTCACGATTGACTTCCACGGTGAACGAGTAACGTCATTTGCGTAATTACTGGTGACAGGACGTCGTGTGAGTCCGCATGGGTAGGTACCACCGCCCTGCCTATTTTAGCCGTGAAACAGTAATGCGTTTCGGTTTGAAGGGCGGGGCAGCCGTTGTAACTATACTGAGACCTTAGAATTTATATCTCAAGGTGGCGGCGGCATTTATGTTTGTAGACGTCTATGGGCTCCGGTAACTACTTGACACCAGGTGTCACCACCAGGTGTCGTAAGCTCGTCCAACCATCTAAGCAATAAAAAAAATACATCAGACAATTGTCGTCTTATGCAGGGTGATTTATTTTACAATTTCAATGAAACTAGTGGTCCTGCAGTAGTCGAAATTCGACTATAATATAATTAATTTTAATTATTTGAAATTATAAGTTTGAACATTATTATGGTTCTATTGTCAAAAACTATTTATTATACTTCTATAATCACAAATTTCGCCAAGATTACACTATAGACAAATAATATTAAAGACTAACAATATTAATCTATTCTCAATTTGACCCACAGACTTTAACAATAAACAAAAGTTTGACAATAAACTAAGAGTATATTTATATTTGTGTGTTGTGTCAAATATAGTTTTTGTGTATAATTTAAAAAAAAATTAGCTTTCTGAACTTCACTATATTCTCTATAAGTGTGGTAAATTTCATACTCCTCCGTCCGCGCAATTTTCGTAAAAAGGGATACAAAGTTTTTGCTTCACGTATTAATATATAGATTGAAGTTTATTAGAATCAACGGTTTATTCATGTATTTAATTGAGTATCCGTCAGCATGAATACTCACGGAATTCCTCCATGAGTGGTCGTTTGAGTTCGATGGCGAGGTCGTGCCACCGCGGCGGCAAGTGGCGCAGCCGCTTCGCTCTGACGCGCGGTCCGGGACACGTGGGCACCGGACACCGTGTGTACCGCGACCTCACGCAGCGACAGTGACACGCCTCACACACGCGAGACCCTACCGACTCCTCCTGATGACATGATGATAATTAAAGTTTAAAAAAAAGCACCACCTATATATAAAAAACTCTCTTAATACAATGCTAATAACTAAACTTTTATTATTCATAATTTCTAAGCACACTAACTCTAGGTCGTGACTTTGTCTGCGCGGCCGTGCAAATATGCAATGAAGTTTCCCGTGGCAATGAAATGAATGTTTTCAAGTTAAAAGGTATTCCACGTTATTCTCCCGACAAAATACTATAACTTTTAAAAAATCACGTCAATCCGTTGCTCCGTTTTGACGTGAAAAAAAGGACAAACAAACAATCAAAGAAATACCCTTTCATATTTATAATATTAGTATGGATGATGGATAATTTCATGGGTCAGATGACTGACTTAAGTTCTTCGAGAAAACCATATAGTGGGTTTATGCTGTGTACCTTATTGTATTTCTGACATATCAAGGGGTGAAATACTATTATGTTTAAGCGACATATTTCAACTTAATTATGCATTTTGAAGACGTCGTGGCCTAAGGGATAAGACGTCTGATGCATTCGTATCTAGCGATGCACCGGTGTTCGAATCCCGCAGGCGGGTACCAATTTTTCTACTGAAATACGTACTTAACAAATGTCCACGATTGATTTCCACGGTGAAGGAATAACATCGTGTAGCAAAAATCAAACCAGCAAAATTATAATTTGCGTAATTACTGGTGGTAGGACCTCTTGTGATTCCGCGCGGGTAGGTATCACCGTCCTGCCTATTTCTGCCGTGAAGCAGTGATGCGTTTCGGTTTGAAAGGTAGGGCATCCGTGGTAACTATACTTGAGACCTTAGAACTTATATCTCAAGGTCTACTCTGACCGGGTTTTGACCCCGGACGGAGATCGGACGCCGGGTGTAAGAGTGCAGGGGAGTCGTTTAGTGGGTGGGCCTTAAATTCCTTGGGCCCGCGGTCTGCTCTCAACACCTGCAGATCGTTGAGTCTCACATACCCCGCGCGCCCCCTAGGCGCGGGGACCTCGTAGGAGGTTCGGCCCTCGGCGCGGAAAAAAAAAAAAAAAAAAAAAANCGGCGCAAAAAAAAAAAAAAAAAAAAAAAAGGGTGGCACATTTATGTTGTAGATGTCTAAGGGCTCCAGTAACCAGTTAACACCAGGTGGGCTGTGAGCTCCTCCACACTAAGTAATAAAAAATAAAAAATGTGATTACAAGTCACACACGGTAGAAGTAAAACTTATAAATAAAATTCTCTATCTCATTCTCTCGCCGGCTGAATCCTATACATTTATGTATTTGTGTCTCTATGGACTTATTTTTTCGTTTCATCGAGTTTGAAATCACAACGACTCTAAAGAAGTTACACTTCAAAAATGCAGCAGTTGATATTATTGTACCTTAAGTCCGTAGTGAGCAGCCCTTGACCTCGAGACGGTTCTGGTGGCTCCTGGCGCGCTGCAGACGGCGCAGTTCGACGAGGACGCGGTCACCGTCGTGGTGCTCGTGGTGGTGGAAGTCGTCGATGTAGAAGGTGTCCCTATCCTCTCTATAACCGCTGTGAACAAACGATATGGCTCTTAAGGAAATACAGGAAACCGCCGTCTGGTTTAGTGGTAAGTGACATGGTCACTACACAAGGGGGTTGCGGGTTCGAAAAATCTACTAAACGCGACCACGGGTTCGAAAAATCTACTAAACGCGACCACTATTAAGACATTTGAAATTACGCTCATAGATAAAAGTCGTCACAGCGTTTAGAAGCGCATGTGAATTCTTAATACCCATAACATTATCATAATATCCTGTTCTCGCTAATTTTTCTCCATCAAATTAAAGTCCTCAATCGTAATTAGACCAGACATATTCAGGAACACAGTACCTGTAAATCACAGCCGAAACCTATTCAATATTAATGCCACGTTGAGCCCCAATTTGAAAAGCAAAGCAGATTAGCGAGGTACGCTGGTTTAGCGAGTAAACTGTATACAGAATATCCATTAATAATGTGCGATAAACGTATTAACATATCCGCATAGCCAACGATAGTCATTGTCAATTTTTATTCTAACCTATTTGCTGGTAACTTATAGGGCTAATCCAGCTACTCACGGACTGATATGTGATCTCACGGGCTCAACCTGAGAGTTTGCTAAAACTGGCAAGNGAGGTACGCGGGTTTAGCGAGTAAACTGTATACAGAATATCCATTAATAATGTGCGATAAACGTATTAACATATCCGCATAGCCAACGATAGTCATTGTCAATTTTTATTCTAACCTATTTGCTGGTAACTTATAGGGCTAATCCAGCTACTCACGGACTGATATGTGATCTCACGGGCTCAACCTGAGAGTTTGCTAAAACTGGCAAGAGCTGTGCTTCGCAGAATCTACCGCCGGATTGGAATCGCGACCCACTGAGAAGATTCGGCGAGAAAGAGAGCTTACTGGTGGTAGGACGTCTTGTGAGTCAACAAAAGTACCTCTCAACCCTGCCTACTTCTGCCGTGAAGCAGTAATGCGTTTCGGTTTAAAGGGGGGCCAGCCGTTGTAACTATACTGACAGCTTAGAACTCATATCTCAAGGTGGGTGGCGGCATTTACGTTGTAAATATCTATGGGCTCCAGTAACCACTCAACACCAGGTGGGCTATGATTTCGTTCATCCATCTAAGCAATAAATAAAAAACCATACGATTTTACTAATTCATTATCTTGCTAATCATTCGTGGATAAGAGGCGGGTTCAACAAAACAAACTCGCAAGTTAAACAGTCCGTTTAGCGGTGTGTAACTAAGCGATTACGGTCCAGACAGCGAGGCCGGGAACAAAATGCAACTGCACCGTATTAATATTTGATCGCTCGCTCCGAAGCGCTAACTGGACGTAATTAACTTGTTTTGTTCGTGAACTCTCGACTGTTTCAATGGAACGGCTCAGATTTAGTAAGTTTGTGTTTGAATTCGTGTTAGGAATTCGTATTTAGATTGAAATTGATATGACTGTTTAGATTATCCAGTGTATGGGTCTGTTTAGTGCCTTCATAGGGAAAATTGTAATGCGCTGGTGGGACCAAATTGGCTCTCAAATATCACAGTCCACGATGCCATCCGCGCAGCCGAGGATAGGCAGGACTGGCGCAAGATAATCCAAGAGAAAGTTATTAAGGTAGGTCACGACCATTGAAGATTATTGACGCAAGGAGGAGCACTTTCAGAAAATTAGTAAGTTCTTCCTTGGCCAGAGTATAATTCATGATAACCGAATCTCTACGGGTATTCTGGATATGAATTTATTAGCCTTGAAATTCAAAGAGCCTTGGCAGCGAAGGCTTGATGAATGTTCGAAACTGTACTTCCAACAACCCTAACCCCACACAACAACCCTAATGAACCTTTGGTCAATGTTTTCCGGTGCAGTTTTTGTTGTTGTTGTAATTATAGGTATATTTGTATATATATGCAAATTCAACTAATTTATAATATACGTAGATACGATAGTTACCACAATATTCAAATTTCGACGAATAACAAACACTCTAATCGTCCGTGACCACGAAAACTGTAATGTTTCCGAAAAGTGGGACAATGACGAAAGCGCGATATCAAACCGTAAGGTTTTTTTATGGAAGGAAGGATTACTGGTGACCCGAAACTTTTCTTCCAGTTTCACTAACACAGGTGGGCCAGCAAAAGCTCAGCCAGAAGGGAAGGGATNAATATTCAAATTTCGACGAATAACAAACACTCTAATCGTCCGTGACCACGAAAACTGTAATGTTTCCGAAAAGTGGGACAATGACGAAAGCGCGATATCAAACCGTAAGGTTTTTTTATGGAAGGAAGGATTACTGGTGACCCGAAACTTTTCTTCCAGTTTCACTAACACAGGTGGGCCAGCAAAAGCTCAGCCAGAAGGGAAGGGATTTGCTAACAGCTGCCCGAGCGTCTCTAAGACCTAACAACTCAAGAGCAGCTGCTTGCTGAATGAATCTACTATCGGATCGGAATCGCGACCCGCTGAAAAGATCCGAACCTTAAAAAGTACTTCAAAATATATCTGCGACTCACGAAAAGCAGAGAATAATAATATTATTTGTTGTAAATTGTTTTTTGTTAGTGTATTTTGAAAACCAGCAAGCGCTGAGTTTGGGTCTTGAAGAAGCATTCCCAATTTCTCAAAGCAAAATGGTACGTAGCGCGCATGTAACGTGTTTTTCATGTTGCCTCATGATACAAGAGTTTGGGATCTCAATTTGATTTCATAATGGCTGTCGGCGCTGTCGCACGATCAAACAAAACCGACTTTCTTGTCCTTTATGGTATCATCATCGTATAGGATATTTGTTTTCGTTGCCCTTGCCGGCAGACGAGCATACAGCCCACCTGATGGTCAGTGGTTGCCATCGCCCATGGACGTCAGCAATGCCAGGATTAGAGCTAAGCCGCTGCCTACCGATGTTACCTATGAACCTATTTCAGAGATTCCCTTAACCGATTGCAATCCTAACGAATACCACATCCAAACTTGGACCAGCTCACAGCCCACCTGGTGTGAAGTGGTTACTGGAGCCCATATACATACATCTACGTTCTAAGGTCTCAAGTATAGTTACAACGGCTGCCCCACCCTACAAACCGAAACGCATTACTGCTTTACGGCAGAAATAGGCGGGTTTTTTTTTTATTGCCCTTGTAGGCAGACGAGCATACGGCCCACCTGATGGTGAGTGGTTACCATCGCCCATGGACTTCAGCAATGCCAGGGGCAGAACCAAACCGCTGACTACCGCTTAATACTCTCCACAAGCCTCTTTTAAAGAAGGACATGTCATAGCACTCGGGAAACACCGTGAAAGGGAGGTCATTCCATAGCCGGATGGTGCGTGGCAATGGTGGGTGGTGGTACCCACCCGCGCGGACTCACAAGAGGTCCCACCACCAGTAAGTTGTGTTATGATATTTTTTCTAAATTTTAAACTTTCAATGGCTCTGCCTGTAATGTTACAAAAAAGTCGCTTAAACCAAATCTCCTTTCACCCTTCGATATTATTTTTGTTTCCATTATCTGTGTTGTCACTGACTAGAGAGGGACGTTATTTGCCCGTATCCGAATCAAACGAAGCGTTATATTTTAACGAGCCACCCCGGGGAAATGTTTGCACGACAAACACGCGGCGAGGAGACATCTTGTATACCAAATATATATATAGACACACTAAAACTATAATAAAAAACGTTTTTTCTTCTACATAAAACCGATATTTTTGAACGAATACCCAAATACTTTGGGAGACCCACATTCGTATCAATAAATGGCGTCCTAATGAATGTGAATAGTTTTTATTGCTGTTATAAGGTACTACCACCCTGCCTATTTCTGCCGTGAAGCAGTAATGCGGTTCCGTTTGAAGGGTGGGGCAGCAATTGTAACTATACTTGAGACCTTATTACTTATGGGCCCCAGTAACCACTTAATACCAGATGGGCTGTGAGCTCGTCCAACCATCTAAGCAATAAAATATATATATAAAAAAATCCCTAGAGCACTCCCCATGGAACATACGGTACAAAATATAGAGTGAAATTCCTCCGCAGACTAAGAGGTTTTCCAAACGTTCAAAACCAGGTGAGCTGTGAGCTATACGTAACATATTTTTTTTTTTGTGGACAAACCAAATTACAATCATTACAGTACACATTAGCTAAATCGTACAAGTAGTACCTAGATCTAATCTGGATTGCAATCTAAATAGTATGTGCACTCAGCGAAATTATATTAATGTGCATAGCTTTGGCTATTGAAAACACAATTAATACCAAACAATTATTAATAGTTTATTAATAAAACAACGTTTAAAGTTATATATTGTCCGCTCTTCATTACATTAGAAGCGCTGCGTTAGTCCCACAAAGATACTCCGCCCGATTGATGTATTATTCTGTTTGTAACGCGCGGTTAGCTGTCATCGCACGGAGGATTAGCAGAGCGAGGACGTCACTCAAAGAACACACAAGATTTTTATTTATTTATTTTTTATTGCTTAGATGGGTGGACGAGCTCACAGCCCACCTGGTGTTAAGTGGTTACTGGAGCCCATAGACATCCATAACGTAAATGCGTATCTCAAGGTGGGTACCTTGAGATACAAGTTCTAAGGTCTCAAGTATAGTATACCTAACTTTTAAAATACGATAAAAGAGAACTAATTAAAATTCATTGATTGACTCGGTGGTCCGGTAGTTAGTGGTCATGAGTGTTGCGTCAAGGGTCGTGGGTTCGATTCTCACATCGGGCAAACATTCGTGTGATGAACAGATTTGTTTGCTTTTTGTCTGGGTGTCTATTATCTATATGATAGATATCTATATTTTTAGCTATTTGAATGAGGTAAACTTAGTTCAATTAAAACATCGATTTTTTTTCCCTACCTAAGCTGATAGCCTTGGGAGGCTATTTCAGCGTAACCTTAACTAGTAGGTGAGCTCACGGGGCTCAAACCTGATGACGTTGCTAACACGAACCCTAGTAAGAGCCGTGCTTCGCATAATCTA